CTCTTAAACACGAAAAGCAAAAGATTTGAATTTCAATGAAACAATCAAACAATAGCCAGTGCATTCTCCTCTCACGTATCACTCCAAAAATAATAATAACACAAACTTTTTAATTTAAAAAACCTCCAAAAAAAAGAATATTATATCCAGAGAGAGACCACCAGCTTTTTAGATTTGGTAAAAGAAGCCTTCTCTTTTCAAGAAGAGGTTTCTGTCTTGGTCTTGTACCTGTACAAAACTCTCTTCTTCTTGCCTGAGACATTGTCAACTGTAAGAACAATCTTACCAGACTGACTGTTCTTGAAACTGTTCCTGATCGTTCCTTCATTTGATCCAATCTTCTTCCCCTTTTGAACAATCACAGTGTAAGATCCTTCGACCGTGGGAACAAACTCTTCCTTGTAACTCACTTCCCATCNCAATACCGCAATGTCCCAAACCAATGTACCTTCAATCTGTGAAACATAAACCAGTATATTAGAATCATCCAACTTTCACAAAGATATGGTTTTGTTTTCAAGTTATTACCTCAGGAGCTGGGATTTCAATGGTTTCAGATGTTCCAGGCTTAACGACAACTTCAGTGACAGTTTCGTTGGAGAATTCGGTGTCATTGTCTCTTTTGAATCCACCGTACTGAACCGGGATCTCCTCTATTGGAATGTACCTTCAAGTCACACAAATACATCAATCAATGTTTAGATAGATGACATTCGAAAGTATAGATTAATGTCTTTAGTTTTGGGTGCTTACTTGAGAAGAGTCTCTGTGACCTTGGCAGGACGAGCAACAACAAACTTGCTCTTGGTTCGTTGCGTTAAGAACGGCGTGACGAGAGAACTGACGGCGTAGAACCAGAACGGAACATTTATGAAGATCTACAGAACAAAACAAGAATGAGTCAGGAGACTGAATCAACAAACTCGAAAGTCTGTGAGACAGAGATAACTCACATTGTGGGATACGAATTCCGGATAATTGTCCTGCAAAGCTACGATTGCGTTCTTGACCGCAAGCCAGAGGTCTTTCCTTGACAACACAGGAGCGTTTTTGAGATCATGGATCTGGAGAAGAGAAGTAACACCGCCTGGTTTTAGATCAAGCTTTTGTATTCCCATCTCCATCAGCTGAAACCTCCACCTCAAGAACTTCTCTCTGTTCTTCTCTGACCCAAATGTCGTCTGGTAAAGCTCCTCGTTCTGGAACACGCTGTGGAGATTGTAGCAAACCGGGCGTGATTGGCGGTCCACACCGCTCATGTAACTTGCAGGGGCAAGATCCTCCCCGAAATCCTCTCCAAGGATCGAATCAATCTTGTGTTGCTTCCTCCATTTGAGTGTTTTCTTCAGCATCTCAAAGGCTTCATTGACTTTGAAGTCTCTTGCTCTCAGGAACTTCAAGAGGATTACATCTGTGCCTTCAGCTCCTTTGCTTGGAAGCAATGGCACTCCCCATAGCTCGATATCTTTATCCACCGTCTCATCTTCTTCCTCCTCCTCAACAGTCTCGGCTTTCACTTCTTCGGTAACTACAGCCTCAGGTTTCTTCTCTTCTTCAGCTACATTCTCAGCTTTCACTTCTTCCTTAGTATCTTCCTCCTTGACAACATCAACCTCAGTCTTTACTTCTTCTTTGAGGGTTTCCTTTGCCTCAATTGTCTCATCTTTCGCTTCTTCGGTTACAACATCCTCAGTCTTAGCTTCTTCTTTGGGGCTTTCCTCAGCTTTCGCTTCTTCGGTAACAACAACGGCCTCAGGCTTTTCCTCTGCTTCCTTCTTCTTCTCAGCCTTCACAGGGCTGCTCTCTTTCTTCTTCTTGAAAAGAGTGTTCTCAACAATGGCTTCCTCAAGCTTTAACTTCAGATCGCTCAAAGCCTTTCTCTCTGATTCTTTCAAATCAGAGAAGAAATCACTCTCTTCTTTGAAAGAAGCACTCTTCTCCACACCCTTAGACTTACTCTCATCTTCTTCTTCAACCTTTGTCTCTTCCACAACAGCTTTCACTGTTGTCTCCTCTGGAACAACTGCAGCAGCAACAACAACCTCTGACTCCACCTGTTTCTCCTCAACCTTAACTTCAGCAGTCATTATGTCTTTCCCCTGTAACCAGATTCAAAATCAATAATTAGTCTTCAATTACATAAACATAATAAAGCCACTAACAAAACTCAACCTTTTTTGTATAAAAATCAACCAGAAAAGTTACTAAATTTGAGCATACAAAACAGAGAAAATTCGCCTATAACCTAATTCAAGATTTAAACGAAACTTCACTAATTCTCAATTCATAACGCAATTCTTGTTAAACTCTGACAATTATTAACCTTCTCAAGTAGTTGAGATCTCAAATCAAAACAAAACCCTAATTCTCAATTCAATCCCAATTACAGTGGAAAAAGTCGAATTCTAGTTATAAAGATTGAATCTTTTCTAAATTCTCTATAAACCCACGAAGATTATTATAGAAACCCAGCTCAAAACAAGAGAATTGAAACCAAAAAGGGGAAGAGAAGTAAGAGAAACAGACCTAAATAAAGATGATGCGACTTTCTCTGACTCTAGTTTCTTGAGAAGAAAGTAAAAAAGCTTCGTCTTCTTCTTCCTCTAGCTTTCTGGGTTTTTTGGTTTCGCAGAGAGAGAAGAAAAGGAATTGGATTATGTGTGAATAAAAAAGAGAGAGAAGAGGACTATAAAGCATGGAGCTTTATGCAGAGAAGGAAAAAACCCTAGCTAGGTTGAGGTGGTCCCTACCAGTTTCTAGCAACGGTCACATGATGGGGTCCACT